AAGTTCATCACGGGGGCACAGAAGGGAATTGGTGAGTTTTTATTCACCAAGGCGCCCCCGGAGGTTACAAGAAATAATGGCCACAAGCTAGCAGAGAGCAGATTTAGACTAGACATTAGGAAGAACTTCTTCACAGTTAGAGTGTCCAAGGTCTGGAATGGGCTTCCAAGGGAGGTGGTGCTCTCCCCTACCCTGGGGGTCTTCAAGAGGAGGTTAGATAAGTATCTAGCTGGGGTCATCTAGACCCAGCATTCTTTCCTGCATATGCAGGGGGTCGGACTCGATGATCTATTGAGGTCCCTTCCGACCCTAGCATCTCCGAATCTATGAATCTTGGCCTCAGCCCTAGAGCAGCTCCCTGACCAGCCACGCACCCAGCCTCTGTGGCTCCTGGCTGGCCTCCATGGAGGCCGCGGGAGCATGGGGGCATGACAGTATGAGGCTGGGCCATGCTGGGACAGAGACCTGGTTCTGTAGTCCTGCGCTGTCATGGCCCTGTGCTCCCAGGGTGTTCGTGGAGATCAGCCAAGACCTGAGCAGGCAAGAACTGCTGGGAAATGGAGTCTAGCTGCTGGCTGGATCTGCCATTTTTCCAACCCCTGTCCTAGCTAGTATTGGTTTCATGACACAGACAAATATTACAGAAACATGACCTGCCTAACATGAGCTAGGGATAGATCTCAACAGTAGGTCCAGAAACCATTAATATCTATTTTAGTGTAATACAAGGATTTGTTGTCAACTAGAAGATGTTCAAAGGGTTTAAAGACCTCAGTTTTCTGTGCCTTTTATTCCTTCCTTAAATAGAATCACATTCCATTGCTAAGTCATATAAACCCATTTTGAACAAACAGCTATTAAAAATGGGTAAATATCAAAAGATTCAGAGGTTCAGTATATGTAAGCCTCTGAACATTCTGCTGCTTATTAGAAACATATCTAAAATTCCTGAATTTCTCAGAGATTAAATTAGCCTTTCTTTCTTCCCATACTTTTCTCCAAGTTGCAGCAGTAAATCTTAGGAGTACAGATCCAGGAAAATGAGAAACATCCTTTCTGGTTTTTTTAAAAGGGGGAGGGAAACTGCAATATCATCAGCTACCAAAAGTGGTGGGAGAAAGTATTATTTGGGGGGTTGTGGGGCTGGTGCTCCAAATATTATTTGGCTGAGTTGTGGGGCTGGCGCACACCGGTGCTGGGCACAGAACTGTGGTGGTGGAGGAGCGTGTGGCAGGGGTGCTGGGTGCAACACTGTAGTGGCGGGGGTTGGCAGTGGAGCTGGAGCAGTGGAGCTGCTGCTGTTGCTGGTCGTCACAAAATTAGTTTTGTGGGGGATAAGCCCCATTAGCCTTGGCCAACTGACACCTATGTCAGCTACTACAATCCATTCGTTATGTCTGCATGAGCCTGTAGTGATAGAAAGTAGTTAAATTACCCTGGGTGCTTCTACACATTCCATTTGAAGCAATTAACTCAGAAGCAGTTTGAGCGGGAGTAAAATACTCCTGGGTGCAGCGTCTACACATTGTGTGCCCAGGACAGCAACAATTCGAGTCAGGGTAGAGCAGTTAATGCCAGGGCCAGGGCCAGGACCAGGGCCAGGACCATGCCCTGGGTTCCAGGTAGCAACATTTGTCAGTGAAAGGACTGCCTGGGCCACAAGAGGCTCCTATACACATGCATGGAGCTTGCTTTAACACGCTGGAAATTCAGTGCTCTTGCAACCTTCCACATCATGTGCATCTGCATCCCAGTGGATCTCCACACTGAAAAAAATGGTGGCACGGTGCTTTAAAATAAAACAAGTTCAATAAGCTTTAGTTCAAAGTGCCCAACCACCATTTTTTCAGTGTGGGGATGCATGGGGATGCTGATACATGCGATGCACAGGCAGATTTACTTAGCATGGCTTGCTAATTAAAATGCCCAATACTGTGTCCCACACCATGTGCAAAAATGCCCAAGGATGCTGAAAGTGTGGAGCCATGTGGCTAGGCAGCAGGTAGTAGTCTAGCCCCCAGCTGGCTGGGTTGACCGGACACAATTTATGCCTAGGATCAGCATCTACATGTGTGTTTGATCACAGCTAATTACCCCGCCATAAGGTAGTACTGTCCCTGACTGTCACAGAGTACCAGGGTGCCCTGCTCTTAGAGGGGCAGAAACTGCCAGAGGAAAAGGTCTGGCAGTGCATAGGGAGCCCTAGCAGGGAATAGGAGCCCACCTGTGAGTTGCCAGGGCAACTGGAGGGAGCAAATGACCCACACCTGCCAGCGGTC